CCGTCAAGCCAGAACCGGCTTATGGCAACCCTGATAGGGCTTTCAAGGTAAGTGAGATATATAAGGAATGGTTTTTACCAGTTCCATTCCTCCAGTGAATATCCATGACTGAGCAGGGATTGAAACCCTGTTCTCCAGAGTTCTAGTCTGTCGGTCTATCCACTACACCACACTGGTCATCCCACAGAACATAGTAGGATATAAAGAGAAACTATTACAATCCACAATATGCTGAAAGTTTCATACCATGATTGCTACCACAGAAGTTAAGCATATAACTCTGTTCAAATAATATAATTAAAAATGAAAACTAAATAGGGGAGCAGGACATGGGGGAGACATACTAGCCCCATCAATATTGTCCTTCACATGACCCATCTCTGCTGTGCTCTTCACCTTCACATGTTTAGATGAATACACTTAGAAGCCTCTGTGCAACCTTCAATGAAAAAGGTTCCTACTGATAATGGTGCAACGCCTTTGTTGGTTGACTTGAACGTGGAAAGAAGGCCCTAGAAGACAGATAAGCTGTCTTGGGTCCTTTTAAGGAGGAAGGTGGGGAAGAAAGAAAGAAAGAAAGAAAGAAAGAAAGTAAGTAAGTAAGTAAGTAAGTAAGTAAGTAAGTAAGTAAGTAAGTAAGTAAGTAAGTAAGTAAGTAAGTAAGTAAGTAAGTAAGTAAGTAAGTAAGTAAGTAAGTAAGTAAGTAAGTAAGTAAGTAAGTAAGTAAGTAAGTAAGTAAGTAAGTAAGTTGGGAGTGAAACCAACGAAAGAAAGAAAGAAAGAAAGAAAGTTGGGAGTGAAACCAACATTCATTTTCGTGTTCTGGTGCCTAATCCACACTGTTACTTCTCATGCATTCAGGCTGATGCCTGACTGAGGGTATAAGATTTGTAAGAAATGTGATTCAGCCTTGTTCTGGTCCCACTCCCATTTCTGTCATGTGTGTTCTCTTTGGATCTCCCATATATGGATAGAATGAGATCTAGAGCCAGGGCTGCTGCCAGGTTTGAAGGGAACTTGGGCCAGATTCCTTTTGGCTTTCTTCCTGATTCCATCCTGCTGGGACTCCTGACAGACAGGCAAGCCTCCACCTGTGAATACATCAGGTAGCAGGAACAAGTGGCAATGCTGTTAGGAGTGCCAGTCTCAGATGGCTTGGACTCAGTCTCTCACAATGCCTCTGTGTACTGATATAGCACTACAAATGATTTCATGTTGGGACAGGGCTTGGAGCCATCATGAGGGAATTAATATGAGATATGTGTGTCACGTAAAAACACTGAACTTGGCCTTCGCATTTAACTATCTCAGAGACTTTGTCACTGTCATACCTCCTCTTTGTGTGTACAGAGACATGAAGGGAGTCAATTTCTATTCATGCTGGAGATAACAGCAGAACATAGGAAAGTGCCCTAGACAAAGTGAGAACATTGGTGCATGTAGATCAGTACTGTCAATACTGATTGGCAATGACAAAGGATTTTGGGCATGAGCTTGTCCTGCCACTGAATTATGGCCCATTCTACAAGTGTCCATTCCTTCTATATTCTCTTTCTGTGGGAAAATGTAAGGGGTGTTGTTAAAATTGATTGTGAGCTTCTTTGAATACCGCATTGGCAGACAAGTGACATATTTATTAAAGGAAAAAAGGAAGGAAGAGAAATGAAGATATGGCAGTGCTCTGGGGTAGAATTCCAGGGTGTTGCTCTGCAAATGCAGGCGAGTTGGCTTACCACACTTGGAAGAAAGTGAAGTGAAAGAGATCAAGTAAGCAAAATCCTGCAAGACATCTAAATGAAATGAAGTAAAACACATCTTCAACAAAAAAGGAATGCCAATAAGACCTACAATTATCCAAATGTATCACTGCTCACCCCTTCATGGATTGCTGCCTTGTTGTGGCGAAGGGGCTTGAGTAATCCAGAGAAGCTATGGGCTATGTCGTGCAGGGACATCCAAGAGGGACAGGCCATAGTGGAGAGTTCTGACTAAATATGATCCATCTGGAGCAGGAACTGGCAAGCCACTCCAGTATCTTTGCCAAGAAAACTCCATGGACAGAAACAAAAGGCTAAAAGATATGATGCTGGAAGATGAGCCCCTCAGGTCAGAAGGTGGCCAACATGCTACTGAGGAAGAACGGAGGACAAGGACAAATAGCTCCAGAGCTAATGAAGTGGTTGGGCCAAAGCCAAAAGGACCCTCAGCTGCGGACGCGCCTAGAAGTGAAAGGAAAGTCTAATGCTGGAAAGAAAAATACTGCATAGGAACCTGGAATGTAAGATCTATGAACCTTGGTAAGCTGGATGTGATCAAACAGGAGATGGCAAGAATAAACATTGATATCCTGGGCATCAGTGAACTAAAATGGACGGGAATGGGCAAATTCAGTTCAGATGATTACCATTTCTACTACTGTAGGTAAGAATCCTGTAGAAGAAATGGAGTAGCCCTCACAGTCGACAAAAGAGTGGGAAAAGCTGTACTGGGATACAATCTCAAAAATGATAGAATGATTTCAATACGAATCCAAGGCAGACTTTTCAACATCACAGTAATCCAAGTTTATGCACCAACCACTGATGCTGAAGAGGCTGAAATTGACCAGTTCTATGAAGATGTACAACACCTTCTAGAACTGACACCAAAGAAAGATGTTCTTTTCATTCTAGGGGACTGGAATGCTAAAGTAGGGAGTCAAGAGATAAAAGGAACAGCAGGTAAGTTTGGCCTTGGAGTTCAAAACGAAGCAGAGCAAAGTCTAAAGAAATATCAGAGATCAAGTAGTTTGGAAGAAACAGCCTCAGATATACAGACGATACCACTCAGATGGCAGAAAGTGAGGAGAAATTAAAGAACCTCATAATGAGGGTGAAAGAGGAGAGCGCAAAAAATGGTCTGAAGCTCCACATCAAAAAAATTAAGATCATGGCCACTGGTCCGATCAGCTCCTGGGAAATCGAAGGGGAAGATATGGAGGCAGTGACAGATTTTACTTTCTTGGGCTCCATGATCACTGCAGATGGTGACAACAGCCACAAAATTAAAAGACACCTGCTTTTTGGGAGGAAAGTGATGACAAACCTAGACAGCATCTTAAAACGCAGGGACATCAACTTGCCGACAAAGGTCCACATAGTTAAAGCTATGGTTTTTCCTGTAGTGATGTATGGAAGTGAGAGCTGGACCATAAAGAAAGCTGACTGCCGAAGAATTGATGCTTTTTAAGTGTGGTGCTGGAGGAGACTCTTGAGAGTCCCCTGGACTGTAAGGAGAACAAACCTGTCAATTCTAAAGGAAATCAACCCTGAGGGCTCACTGGAAGGACAGATCCTGAAGCTGAGGCTCCCATACTTTGGCCATCTCATGAGAAGACTCCCTGGAAAAGACCCTGATGTTGGGAAAAAGTGAAGGCAAGAGGAAAAGGGATTGACAGAGGACGAGATGGCTGAACAGTGTCATCGAAGCAACCAAAATGAATTTGACCAAACTCGGGGAGGGAGTGGAAGACAGGAGAGTCTGGCGTGCTCCAATCCATAGTGTCACGAAGAGTTGGAAATGACTTAATGACTAAACAACAAAAACATCCTTGCTGAACAGTATCTCTTTTAGGTACATTAGCTTAGGGTTGTGATTCCCTACCTTGGGTAACCAAGAATCCTTTACCATCCACTGTGCTGGCTGGGATTTCTCGGAATTGCAATCCAAGAACACCTGAGTTACCCAAGCGTGGGAACCACTGCCTTAGGGCAACACTGGTCCCCCCAGATCATTTTTAATCTACAGCTCCCACAACCCCTCATCATTTGCACTGCTGGCTAGGGCATATGAGAAGGTGGGAAGGGGAAAAATCCGACAGTCACAGCTGGGAAACCCTGGCTTCTGCATAATTTTCCATGGAAGAGCCAAGACATCAGTGCCCTGGTCTACATACTGCAGTGGGGTTTTAGTTCCTCTGGCTCTGGACCTCTTGTGCAATGGAGTTTTTCTTTAATTCTGCATCTAAGCAGCTGAACATGGAATTCATAAGGAACAAGGATAGCGTTCCCATAATACATTGTAGAAGCTAGAGCAGTTCAGGCAATATTCATCCTGGAGAATAAACCTGAATTTTTAATAAATGCAAGCTAATTCACACTTGTCAATAATAAATTGCCTTATCTGAAAAGTTGGTAATGAAAGGAGCTGACTACACACTTTAGACTCAATACCTTACTCAATGATTATAATTAGTTTACATTATTTTATGTAAACATTGTGCATATGTAATATGAAAGCATAAATATGAAGGGATACATTATTTTATGTAAACATTGTGCATATATAAAAGCATAAATATGAAGGGGAAAGTATTTATTAAACAAATCTGAAACTTTAAAGCAGTCTATGATAGATTAGTGTATTTTCAACATATATTCAGTCCAAAATAAGTTTAAAGTCTATCCCACTGTGTTCAAAGAGTTTTTTAAAAAATCAAGTAGGTATTATTACCGGTACTTTCCAAAGAAGTAGCGCTATTAAGCCACAGGACTTCGCCTTTTCCCTCTCTCCCCCCTGCCCCCCTTAATTATTCCTATTATGAGTAATTAGGTTTTGGAATTAAATCAAACAAACTGTTTGAAATGCAATTTTTTTTCAAATGTAAAGAAAAAATTGAGCGCATTCTATTGTATACATTTATGGGCTCAAGGGAATTTGCTGAGTTCTGTATTGGCCCGTCCTTTTCCAGCGCCCATCAGAGAAAGGCGGGTTCCTAGAGCTTTCAGCGGGATACATCCCCGCCTCTTCCAGATCGCACTGAAAACTACGTTTCCCACAACGTCGCACAGCAGCGGCATGCCATCAGTGTCCAGTACGCATGCCTTAACGGCGGAAGCCCGCCCTATGGGGCGGGATCTGCAGCTGTGGTTGGTTGGGACGCCTGCCGTTTAGAGTGAGTTCGAGGGTCAGAGGGCGCGAAGGTGAGTGGCTGCTGTTGGGGACTCGTGGTGCTGAGGGATGGGGTGACCGGGGCCGTCCTGGGGGGCGCGGGTGTGTGGGGTTTCTACATGGGATAATGTCTGAGTGGCGAGGATGGGAGGGGCGTGGAGGATTGGCCTGGAAGGGCCCAGTTGGGCCCTGAGGGCAGGAATGGGGGCGCGGTGCAGGATACATTTGGGGGACGGGGCATGGCCTGAAGCAACGGGTGTTGGTATCTCGACCCCGCTCAAGATGCCGGTTGTTCTGTCAGTGCTGGAGGGCGCGGGTGGCGTGCATTGCAGAACTGGAGTGGTTTCTCCGTAAGGCCTGGCTGACAAGATGCATTGGGGCGGGGATGCAGGGCCCACACGAAGCGGTGTATCAACCTGTACATTTGGGGGGAAAAGGAATAATTGCCGCTGGGAGCCGAAGACACGCAGTAGGGAATGCTGGGTTTTGATGAAGAGAATTGGATGCATTTGGTAGATTTTTGGGGGGCGGGGGAGAGAGGTTTAATATCTAGCATTTTTATGTCTTTAGATATGAATATATATCGTATGCAGGGGGAGATTGCGTTGGGTGCAGTGGCCGGAATTGCAGTGGGTCAGGGTAGGCAAAGGGTTTATCTAGATGTGGCTGAACTAGGAAAAGAATAGCAGTTAATTGTCGTGGGAAATCTAGAATTATGAGGTGACACATTTGGTCTGTGTTTGGTGCAGCTATACTGAGAATCAAGTACATGTATCTGGAAAAGTCCAGCATGGAAGCTCAAGATGTTGAAAATTGATTGGTAGCTGGGGCTGTTTATTACTTGTTTTTCATAAACAAACCAATTTTTTTCCTTAAAAGAGAAAAAGTCTCTAAAAGCTACAGGTGTTTTCTGAAGTTCTAGAATGGATAGAGATTCAGCACCCCCCATGGAGTTCAGGATAGGTGAACTGGAAGTAGAACTACAGATAAAGAGCAAGTATTAAGATGAATAGAATTGGATATATAGCCTTTTGGAGGGAAATGTCTTCTTGGAGAAATAAAATATAGAAGTAGGCTGATACCATCTGTTTAGATTGATATCATAAAACATTTACTGTGTAGCAAATCCCATTGACATCAGTAGAATTTACTTTTGAGTAAACATTTTTAGGATTGCTGTGTCATGTTTCGTCTCTGCAGTGTGCACTTTTAAAAGAACAAAGAGCCTGTAACATGTTTCAAAGCAAAATAAAAATTGACTGAAAGATCTGAGTTTGTATTATATGTAGCTTCCCAACTAAAAAAGTGCCATAACCCCTTCTTGATAAAAGCTTGTTTGTTCTGTGAAGTGTTGCCTGGCCAGATGATGGAATTTGATTAGCTGACATCTAGGCTTCTCAGCAAGTGTCACCTGAATTTGAAACTAGGGCTTTTGGAGTAGCTTTGTCAATATAACCATTCTTATGGAGGATACACTGCATGGCTTTTATCTATGAGAATCACAGATCAAAGATGTTGTCTTTTAGGGAAATCCAGAGCACCAGTGCTTATGGGGCATCCTGTAAGCTGCTTGCCTCCTTTGTAATCTTTATGAAGTTTATGGCTGATTTTTCTAAATGTTGACACTTACATTTCTAGAATGAGGAGTCAGTGCATTTTTCTTGTATCACTGAGTTGTAAAGAGTTTCATTCCCCAGCACTTTTGGCAATTCTTGATACAGGTTATACAGGTAAACTGCTAAGCATTGCCAGATTTGTGAGGAGTAATTACAAGTTCAGTGGTTTCCAGACCTTCTCACATGAGTGTAGTATTTTAGGTAATAAATCTGGTTCACATCAGGTGATGCACAGACTTGTTGGGTTTCACCATGATATTGCACTAGTCGGATGCACACCAGAATGCATCAAACAGCTATGCATAAACTGTGGTCCAGGAAGTCAAGACTGTTAGACATTGTCATTGGAATGTAAGAGTAACTGATACTTCTTATTGGGTCACTAAAAAATAAAATAAATGTCAGTCTTTCATGTAGAAAATTCCACTTCTTTAGGCTTACTGGGATCCCTTCATGGATAGTGCAGAAAAATTGTAGACAAGAGTAAAAAAATTGATGTGAGAGTTGATGTCAGCCCTCTTGAGACTACAGTACTGTCTCAAGTATCCTTTCAGCATGGTTTGGGATTTTTACATCCCTCTCTTAGGATGGAAAGGTTGCCAATTGCCCATTTCCTGCTATAAAACTAAAGTTTCATTTTGGCTGTGGGGGTGGAAAGGTGAACACAAAGCCATAGAAGCTTCTAGTACAAGTTGGAGGTTATAATTTAGTTTATTCACTAGGTAGAAATAGCCAATTGTGCCAAATTGAGATCTAAATAATGTTTTTACTTGGTAAGTATAAGGAGATGTTTCTTCAGTTTGTAGTAATCTCTGGCTTATGTGACGAATCCATGTGGTTGGTGTTGAGAGTCTACCTTGTCTTGTAGGTGGTGCTGTGTGTGGCTATTAATGGTATCCTACATCATCCAGAAAGAAAAGGAAAAGGCTGTGTGGTCCCCAAGATTACACAAATATAAGAGTGGATTAAGTCCTGACTACTAAGTTGCTTTAACATTTAAAAATATATTACATTTTAAAAATCCAGTTCTGAAATTATGAGGTGGAATACTTTTAGTGCTTTATAGTTTTGGGAACCTTTATAGATACACATTACAATATTTATTTCATTTTAATTGTTAATATTAGACTGCTTGACAGTCATGGCTATTGGCTTACTCTTTCACGAGATAACTAGTAGAAGTTAAGCTAGAGTCTAGTCTGAAATGTGAACATGACAAATAACATCTGCACCAGGTAACAACTCCTAATTATGATGAACTAGGTCCTTTTCTCTCTTTAATTTCAAGCATTTGTTTTGGACAAAGCATTCTGCACTTTAGCTTTTTTCTTGTTAGCATTTAAGTGTCTAGCTTAAATTTGCCTGTGTTAATCATAGTATACAGTGACCAAATCTTGTTATAAAGCACTTAATGTTTAAGAACAGTTGCACAAGCTATTTTCACATTTTTGGCGATTGATCTTGTGCCTGGCTGCATGACCTGTTGCTCTATGGATTGTACAGTTGAAGGATGACAGCTTGTGACAAACAGCAAAACCTCTGCTATTGCTTCTATGTTGGGTCTTGTGTGATTATATAATGCAGCAGAATTTTGACAAGTATACGTATTTAGTGTAGAAAATATTGTTTGCATTGAGAGATATAATGTGAAAGGCAAACACTTCCAGTAAAGAGAAGGGGGGGGGCTTTCCCAGAATCCAAAGACTTTAGGATATCAGTTAATTCTGGGATAAGATTAATGAGAATGGATTGCTTCTCAAATATTCTAAAGTAATTCCACAAGTGTTCTGAAGTTGCATGGACTCATTATTATAGTCCACTTGAAAGTATTAACAAAAAAGAGGGTCAGTCATGAAATGGCCAACAAAAAGAGATGCTAATATCAGATTGGTGTCATCAAAATGACTGATTTGAAAAATGCATTATGTATTTTGACAACACACAGACTTCACAGGTTATTTCAAATTGCTTTGTGACCAAGTTCAGCTTTGTTTTCTAAAGAGAAGCATTTTTCCGTGTCTCTCTCCAGCATAGTTTTGATTACATTTGGATGAATGAACTGTGCAAATTAGTGAAATTATGTGTTAGCAGGACCTGATTACTGTATATGCTCGAGTATAAGCCTAGTTTTTCAGCGCAGTTTTTTGCTGAAAAAGCTCCCCCCTCGGCTTATACTCGAGTCAGTCTCAAAATTACATGTTCTCCCCTGCAGTGCAGGTGTTCTCCGGACTTCCCCGCTCATCTACGGGCGCCTGCAGCCTCTGGAGGTGGTCTGATGACCCGGCTTAAGTACACTGCATTTCTGCTTCCAGGACACTCCCATCTTCCTCCTTTTCCATATTCTATGTACCCACCTTCCTCCTCCATCCTCTGTCTCCCTCCATCTTATTATGCAGCAGTAGAGCAGTAGATAAGTGCATCATCCAGTATGAGTCCTCCCTCCGCAGGCAGTGAAGTGTGTCTCGCAGCTCAGAAGGGCAGTATCTTCAAAAACATTTAACCTACTGATGCCTCAATTCATGTAATTGTATTGGTATCTATTTTTATGTTTGAAATTTACCAGTAGCTGCTGCATTTTCCACCCTTGGCTTATACGCGAGTCATATGTTTTCCCATTTTTTGTGGTATAATTGGGTAACTTGGCTTATATTCGGCTTATACTCGAGTATATACGGTATATATCTTTGGGCAGGTGCGTATTGTAATGCTTTTCTGTTTCTTAAAAAAAATCACATTTTCTGAAAATGCTGAATTGGAATTTTGTCATTGTGACCTTGCCCTAATTTGATTGCCATTTTGTTTTACAATATTTGCAATGCAAATGAAACTTTTAAAAAGTTTGTTTCACTTGCTGAATGTATTCAAACCTGTTCTGAAAGTCAAAATTAGTTGACCTGAAATACCCAAGAACTGATGATGATGAACCAAATACTGTCTTAGGCAAGAAGGCTTACATCCTAAATCTAGTACTGTAGTTATATTTTATCTTCTTGACCTATGTTAATGAAAATTAAAATGTGCGTGGAAGACCAGATAGATTCCGTGTTTGCCTGTACTGTAGTGTTTATGCTACGGGTAGGCTTGGTCAATAACCATTTTGTCAGTACTTGGATGTTAGTGTTGCAAAATATCTGTAGTACAGTAGGTGCTTTGTTACTATGTACTGTATTGGAAAAGGAAATGATTAAAACAAAATGTTATGGCACTGATCAGTGTTATATATTTTTATGTAACTGATTTCAATATTGAAATGGTTTGTTGACTTATTCAATAAAAACTTGAGTGTGAAATTTAACAGATTTCCCTCCAAATAAAAAAGTTCTTAAAATTTATTAGGAAACAAATGCTCTGAATAATTTAGATATTCTGTGCAGAAAGAAATGTCTGGTTTTGCTTCAAAACTTTTTAAATTTGAATTCTAATATTTTAAGAGATAATAGTTCAAGAGTATACATTTCTCTTGCATTGTATACTGTATACTTAAGCAGAAGAAGTATTAATGTTGAAAATAACTGCAGAGCTATGGATTTACATTTATTATCTGTGCATGCTGTACATGCATACTAGACTCAGTCACTTAAAAATCTTGAGTGGTATGTGTATTAGTATTTTTTGTATAACAAGAAATATTAATATAGCTGCCAAAAACAAATAAGAAAACATAGTCTTGTGGCATCTTTAAGACAGATTTATTTCATTCTTAAGTCCCATATTAATTGCTATGTAGAAAACTCAAATGTGCCTGATTTTGTGTCCTTGCACACTGTTGGTTAATTATATAAAACAGTATGGAAATTCTAGAAGTGGATACTTCCTGTTGATAGTATATTTGGGGGAGGGAGATGCATCATAAGCCTCAATAGTGTGAGATGATGTTATTGAGAGGTGCCACCTGCTTTATACTCTACCTTAAAAATAAGAATCTTGTGTTGTTCTTGTATATTTTTATATACTGTGGCTTAATGATGGACAGGTGCTAAACCATCAGCTGATGCCAAAGCAAGAATGTGACTTCATTTGCATTTGTGTAAAGTGTATGTTATCACATGTCCCCAAAATAAACAAAATATGTGAAAATTAGTTTGTACAATAATGGTATTTTTTCTCCACTATACTTGCTAGAGAGGAGAGACTATTAGGTAATTAAAACTTACCACACTATAAACTTTATTTTTTAGACTTCTGCTGTTAGCTTTTAGAAATATAGAATTGGAAATGGCAAATCAGATTTGCCAGCTTGCTTATTACAAATTTTCCTCAGCTGAGGTTCACAACTAGTGATGGTCGATGGAGCTATAACTGAAAGTGGGAATAGACTGATAACTATTGCAGTGGTTTGAAAATTAAATTTTTAGGGTTAAACTGGGAAATTAATTC